TCTCTTTGCCACAGGCTCATCACCTTGTCCTTTTGCCAAATTTCTCTTCATCTTCTGCTTCCTTAAGAACTCTGTTACTGCATAATTTTCAACATTTGAAGCTGATGTTCCAGATCTTATTCGGAGGCCGGTGTCAATACTACAAAGACGTACCCGACCCCCAATGGAGCTCCATGTTTTCACGAAAATGAAGAAGTTCACTCCTATTTGCAAAAACCCAAAGTAATCTTCTGCAGCCGATGGATTAACCAGCTGTTTCAAAGCCTTGTCTAGGTCCAGGCCTAAACCATCTGAGAGATAGCTGTAGTTCTCATTATTGATCTCCGCACGGACTATACCCCCACCAGAATTGAGAAGGGCAACTGCAGCCATTAAAATTATCTGTTTCTGCTTCTGCTTTTCGGTCTTCTGTTGCATAATGTCTCTGGCATTCTCACCCAAGGTTACTTCTCCCACAAACAGAACCTGGTCAGGGAGCTCACTGCATTCCAGTGAAAGAGTCTCTGGTTTAGATAGAGCCATCAGGCTGAATTTTCTGTAATAATAATTCAAGACATCATGCATTTTTACAGCTTTACACAATGTTTTATGCAACTTCAGAGCTACAAAAAATTTGTTTTACTTTATTTTAAATTATGGATAAATGGTAGGAGAAATGGACCAGTGGATTATTTTGCATAAATTTATAAACTGCCTATTAATACATTATGACTTGTATTCCAAATGTTTAAGTTAGCAATACATTTTAAGCAGGTTTTATTTAAACTGCTAATACTGACATGTGCCAAGAGAGAATCTAATCTAAAGGTTTGTTCTAAAGCTACTGTTACTAAATGTAGCTATCATGTATCATCAATGTATTAAATAGCTAAAGTATGACATAATAGGAAATGAAAGACGTTTTCTTAACTAAATAACTACACATAAGGCTAAGTCAACTTACCGCCGAATCGTTTTCGTCTTCTCAATATATAGTGTGGTTGAGCTATTTAATACGTCTCAACTTTATATTTCCCGGGCATTTTGGCCAATCATACGCCGAGATTACGTCATGCACATGCGCACCGCCAGACAGTCAAACATTCCGATAGGTAGTTCTATCCTTCAGAGGCCAACAGTGCGATTCCAGCGGAAAACGGAAGCAACCAAACTGAAAAAAAATACGAGGTGTTGAAAAATGGAAAATTTCCTGAGATCTAACTTTCTAAGTTAGGTCTATAAAAAAAGGTTATAAACAAAGAGAACAGTGCGATGTTATAACTATTGCAAAAAGTAACATTTATTTACTTATGTTACTTTGTAGCTTTGGACTGTGATTTAATAAAACATCAGACCTCAGCATTTTTTTTATTTTTGAAGACCACATGAAACTTTTTACTAAACCAGAGAATGTTGTATTATATTACATTTACTTTTATTTATTTAGAAGATAAAACTAAGAACAAGGTCAGCCAGTATCCCAGTAGCACCTGTGGTTAAAGGGCTAATTGTAAAACCATTTAAAATTTCTTATGTGTTAAAGGAAACAATCAGTGATGATTGTAGGACTGCGTATTAAAGCCAATAGCTGGTCCTACTCCCACTCCAGCTAGGCTTCTATTTCGGATATGAAATAGTATTTCCCTATCAAAGTTTATATTGTTGCAACTTCAGAAATCAGAAAAGAAACTGACCTTTCTTTTTAAGATCCCTGGATAGGCACAGCTTATATCATGCAATATATCAGTATTCATGCATGCACTCCACCCTCTTATGCCTTTTCCGAAAGTTACAAATGTAACGTTCTGTAGGAGTAATATCTCATTGCAAATAAAAGCCAATTCAAGCAAGGGGAGAAAGTAGGATCAAACACAAAAATAGGAGATTTCAGCATTATTTATTTGAGCTATACACAGGTGTTACATTCGTTGTGTTACTCATAGCTCAGACTGTAGTGTAGTGTAGTGGCCAAAGACCGTTTCAGTATGAGGGAAAACTTTCGGATTCGACATACAGGATGTGCAGAGAAGGTGGCGGTGGGGATTACAGAATAGTCTTGTTTCCATGACCTTTGTCTTACGCTCCTTAAAGGAACTGCATCTCTCTCCCCCCTGATTTACATGGCACATATACAAACAAACAGAGGGAGGACGCAGTGCTGGTCATAAGGCCATACAGTGGTTATGTCATGGAGGCACAGCAGCAAGACGACCTTCTCAGGGCTCTCAGTACGGCTCCGCTTTCAGACTGCGTTACAGGCAGCACGTGAAGACCATTCCCACGATCTGAAAGTATAAGGGAGAGACCGACACATATCAAACTGCAAGCCTTTTCTCATTGCCTAGCCGTATTGCAAAAATATGCATGTTTATGGAAATGATGCATTTATTCATTTATACTCCTCGCCCCTGTTCAGGACTCCCATCAACTAGGATCAAGTTACAGATCTCCCTCCCTCACAACTCACTTTTCATGTGACTCACTGTCCAAATTATGTTATGACTAGTAACAATTGGATTGTAGATATCTGAAATGGGAGTTTTTCCTAGTAAAAATTCAATTGCAGATATCCAGAATGAACATTCTGGATATCTGAAATATAATTGTGGATATCTGAAAATGAAAGCCCAATAGACATGAATGGCAAAAGTGATGCAAGTTCTCCTAGGAAGAATAACGATGTGGATATCTGAAATGACAATTGTGGATAGGAGGAATGCCACTGTAGATATCCGAAATTCTCTTGACTAGGAAGAATTGAATTACGGATGTCTGCATTACATAGCCAGTCTAGCAATTAAATGTCAAAACGGCCACTTATACTTTGTAAAGATTTAAAGATATCTTAAATAGAATTGTGACTAGGAGAAATCAAGTTTTCAATATCTTGAAATACATTTTGTACTAGTAAGAATGCAATTGTGGATATCTGTAATTGCCATTCTGACTAGTNTCATTTCGTAGGGCTCTGGTAGTGCTCATCCTGTTCCTCCTTGCACAAAGGAACAGATACCAGTCCTGCTGATTAAGGAGATTAAGGACCTTCTACTAACTGTCCAGCTCTCCTAGAGTAACTGCCTGTGTCCTGGAATCTCCTTCATGCCCTTGAGACTGTGCTGGGAGACACAGCAAACATTCTGATAATGACACGTATTGATGCACCATCCTGGAGGAGTCGGACTACCTGTGCAAACTCTGTAGGGTCCAGGTATCTCCTCATGCTACCAGTAGTGACACTGACCGTAGCCAAATGGAAAACTAGTGAAAAACAGTCAGAAAAGATGAGGAGGGAAAAATGTCAGTGGCCCCCACCTGTTAAACCATTCGTGTTTTGGGGGTCGTCTCATTGTTGCCCCTCTAGTGCACCTGTTGTTAATTTCATTAACACCAAAGCAGCTGAAACTGATTAACAACCCCCTCTGCTACTTAACTGACCAAACCAATATCCCAGACTTTTAATTGACTTGATGCTATACTCTGATATAGTGTTCTTTTAATTTTTTTGAGTAGTGTATATATATTAATATACGCACACCCATACATTGAGAAATGAGTGAAACAAAAAAATTGTGCTGTGGTCTCTTAATTATTTTTTTCCATGGCTGTATCTTTATTGAGGTGCGGGTAACCATATTCCAAAGTCACTATCATGCAATATATCAGTATAAATCCATATGCACCCTCTTATGTCAAGGGATCGACATAAATGGTACGCAAGTACGCATTCCCTGTATAAAGTGATACGTGGTAATTTCTTGTCATAACAGCACAAGTGCACATATAATAAGTATGCATTTTGCACTGTTACCGCAAGACATTGCCACACATATCTCTTTATATGGCAAATGCTACCAGTTATGTCAATCCCTGCCTGTATCAAAAGATTAACAGAAACATTTGGAATACAGCAGGATCAAGCACACAAAGATTTCAGGAATATTTTTTTAAGCAATACTAAGATACTAAGATTGTATGGTGGACCAAGCAAAAATGACAATTTGAAACTAACCAGATGCCACATTTACATCTACATACTTAGCCAGGAGGGGCCCTGGAGTCTTTTTCAGGCAGCATGAGGCCCAAGGCGCAATTTTTAACTGAAATGACTTAAAAAGAATTACAGAAAAAGCAGAGTAAATATAATGCTACAACAGAATGAAACTACTTTCATAACATTAAGATGGTGAGCAAATGAAAGTCAATAACTCAGTATTAGTGTTTTGTACTTAGCCTTTATGTCTTAAAAAGCAGAATAACAAAAGTAAACCATACAGTATATTTTTGTAATACAAATACTAGTCTTTACAATGTTTTCTCCATCAAAGGGATTTAGAAACTTAGCAGTAATCAGATACAAAATACAGTATGTATATGTGATTGTGTCTGTATACCTGTGTATGGGGTTTTGAATGAAATACAGTGATACCTGTACCCATGAGCGTAATTGGTTTGAAGACACAGCTCGTGGGTACAATTTCTCGTGGGTACAAACAATTTTTCTCATAAGGAATAATGGGGATTAATTGGTTTTCCGGCCCCAAAATACCCCCACACAAAACATTTATAGACACAATAGCAAAGATACATAAAAGCACTACTGTAATCCACATAGTTCAGACATGCTTAGTTTTGTAGATTCAGGTGGCTTTTTGGAGGATCTTGTCTTATTTAAACCACAGACATTTAGTTTGGTTTGATCTTGATTGTTGAAATGAGTGGTATCACCATGGTGAGATACAAAAAGTTCTCTGAGGCCTTCAGAAAGAAGCTTCTAGACGCATATGGGAAGGATATAAAAAGATCTCGAGTTTGGAATCAGCCATTCCACTGTCTGGAAAATAATTTACAGGTGGAGAACATTTGAAACAGGTCAGGCTGTCCTTGCAGGTTCAGCCCAAGAATAGACAGCAAGATGTTGAAAGAAGTCATCACAGGTCATACAGGAAGCTCTTACCACAGTTGATGTCAAGGTACATGCATCTACCATCAGAAAGAGACAGCACAGTTTGGTTTACATGGGAGTTCAAGGAGGAAACCCTTGCTGTCAAAAAACATTTGGGCAACACTGAAGTTTGCCAAAGACCACCCAGACAAAGACTGGGACATTTGGAACAATGCGCTTTGGACAGATGAATCTGAAATTTAATTATTTGGGCACAGTAACAGAAGACATGTTTGGTGTAAACCAAAGACAGCTTTTGAGCAAAAGAACCTCATACCAACTGTGAGGCATGGGCATGGAAATGTCATGGCTTTGCTGCAGCAGAACCATCATAGAATCTACTATGAATTCTTCGTCTTATCAGAGGGTCCTTGAGGACAATGTGGATCATCTGTCCAGAAGTTGAAGCTGAAGTAGGGGTGGACCATGCAAATGACAATGGCCATTGCAAATTTGGCCACCGCAACCCAAACATTCTAGGAATGGAGAGTTCTGGAATGCTCAAGTCAAAACCCGGATCTGAATCCTTTTGAGATGCTGTGGGTTGATTTGAAGCGGAAGTGTATGCAAGACACCCTTCAAGCATCATGCAGCTTAAAGAATTCTGCACTGGAGAGTGGGGAAAATTTTCTGCCAATCGCTGTCAGAGATTGATAGATGGTTATAGGAAATGTCTCATTGAGGTTATTTCAGTCAAAGGGGGGATTTCTAGCTATTAGGACACAGGGTGTGCTAACTTTTACCTCAGTAGGTTCAAGGTTGCTTTTATTTTTTATTTCAACAATATACGTGGTACAGTACAAAGTGAAATGAAATAACGTTCCCTGGGACCATGGTGCTACATAAAAGAACTGGGACAAAAACAAAAAAAAACGTAAATTGCACGTATGTAAAGTGCTACATAAAAGGACTGGGAATTGGAATCGTAGGAATTGGCATCGTAGTTAATTTCTTTAAATAAGTTCATTTGTTTCTTGTTTTTGCATAGATGATGCAATTACGTCATTTTTATCTACAGATATAATTTGAAAGATTTAATATTGATATTTTGATATTTCTTAATAAAGAATTAAATATTTAATGGGGTGTCCTAATTTCTTCACACGACTGGACATATCTGTAACCCAACAATAATGGAAAGTTGTGTTGGATCAAAGCTTATTTCAGTAAAATAACATAGAGTTGTGATCTAGCTCTGGAGATGGCAGAAACCAGAAAGTGTTCTCTTATCTCACCCTGAGCCGGATGAACCGCTGGATTAATCAGAATGACAATGTTTCTCTCCAGACCAGAGAACCTGCGAACTGAGTCAAACACAACCACATTTTCATCAATATTCTGTGCTGGAGCAATGTCATATTTAATTTTCATTTTTAAATGTCTCTGATATGGGGAAATATCATCCCAAGTTGAACTGAGAATGGCAAGATCTTTTGGAGAGTTTCCTTGTTGGAGCAGGTACTCTACCAGTGATGTCAGTCTGGAAAAAATTGTGGGTTTTTTTGCAATTATTGTTTTATAACTTCCTTGAAATGAGTGCATGCAGTTCTTCTGCCTAATCATTTTCTCCATATGTTTCTTTATATCTTTCTCAAGTGCAAATTCACCCTCTCTTATTCTGTCAAGTTTTTTGCAAACCTCATTATGTATAGTCACGCTATTCCGCAAGGATTCATGCAAAATTATTTTATTGGTTTGTCTTGAGGGTAATGGTAAGCCATTGGCTTCTGTGTGACTGAGCTGAAAATAATCCAGAAAGACCCAAAACACACCATTCTCTGGTTCCACTATCTTTTTTGCTTTTTCATACCAATCTCCTTCCAAGCGGAAATTCTGAGCTTCATCCACAATTATGTGCTTGATATTTGGAAATTCCTTTTTCATGAAGGATGACCGTGTTACACTCTGACAAATGTTTTCTTTTCTGAAGAAAAAAAGGTTTTGTTTTTATTTTCATCACCAAATGAATTTCAATTTTATATTCTATTTTTCTTTTTCAGAAAATAATGTAGCAGCCTTTAACAATTTTTTATAATAAATGTTACGTCCTGCTGCTGTTCGCTCCGCCCCCTCCACCAGGACCACTTGGCTCGGCCCTTGCTCCGCCTCCCCGTTTGGACCCCGCCCACCTTTCCCCGCAAGCCGGCCGTCACTTCCGTCCGGCAGAAGTGAAAAGCCGGACAGAAAGTACCCTCGAGNAGTCGTCACAGAAGGTGAAAGTAACGTTGTTTATCGCACACAGCATTGCCATTTTAACCTCCGCATTTATGACCTGGTTAATGTTGTAAATGACCTGCAGATTACTGCAGGTGGCAGTTTTCGCGAGGCTACTGACAGTTCAGTTTGGAGAGGCAGAGGAATTTTTTTTTTAAATGATATTACAATACGGGAGATTTAAGGGAAAATACTAATACGGGAGGACGGCGGGAAAGAGGGGTAAAATACGGTAGTTTCCCGGCCAAAACGGGAGACTTGACAGCTATGGCCCAGTTACTTGTTAGCAATATCAGTTGATAACACATTACGCTCGGTGCTTTACGTATAAAACTCCGTAGCAACACGTCCACAGATAAGTTGGAATATATAGAGTGTGCGACCGATTTAATGAGCCACAAATGAGACGTAGTGCTTACACAGTAAACTACAACTTTCCCTTCTGTTGAAAGATAATCGAACGCAGGATATGGACGACCAAAGGACGTCTTGCTGTTTGCTGGGGCTAACTAGCCTATGTAACTCTTGAAAGCGTTATTTTTGTATATAAATAATGTCCCGTTTCCGTTGTTTGTTAATATAACACTCTGCACTGAATTTCCACACTTAACCATTCACTAACTCGGAAAAAGTTGTTTCCATTGCAATTTTGTAAATTAGTCAACTTCTTTCTCGACTTGCCAAAAAAACAATCGTAGATTATTTTTTCCGGAAATCTGATTAACGGGATTTCATTTCGCATCTTCAAAATGGAAAAGCCGCCATTTTCACCTTACCGCTTGTCAAGGTATAGCGCAATTCACGAAACATCTCGTATCAGTCGAATAAAGATACAAATCTTCTCTGATTTTTAGCGGCTTTATATTTCCAGGATTCTAAACAGCGCACATGCGCAGACTGAACAAACGAAGAAACGAAACTGCAACCATTTCTTCAATCATTTCGTCACACCTTAAGTGAATTAATGGGGGGGAGGGACTCGGCGTCTTTTTTCGACTAGACTAGAGAGATGTAGCGCAGCAAATGTTGCGCTGCTTTATTTGTGTAATCGTCTAACTCTAATCTGTGAAGGCGGAATTCAAGTAAGAATTGCATTGTACTCTGCATAACAAACATTTGAATCCTTTAAATAAATGTATTTGATCTTTTTCCTGGCAGCTATCTTTTTACACAGGGCCACTATACACAATAGTTTTTTTTCCCCACTGCTAACAGTTTGGATCAGGAGTTGATTATTGTAAAAGAAGTAAGCTAATGTGCATGCAGGTGATGTATATAGATTTATCTACACCCTTCTGGCAGTGCTGCCATTGCAGTCCGGTCTCGCACACTACGAGAAGTAGAAGTTGCCCCACTTGTTTGCGGCCAGTCAGTTTATACTCCACCCCTGCAGCCGCCGGCAGATCTCACTGATCGGATCGGATCACCCAGGATGCATGTTAATACAGGGTTATGTCTTGCCCTCTATCACAACCATATGACACAGGTTCATTAAGGTCATTTTTTCATTTATTTGACAATCTTTTTTTTTAACCAGGGTGTGAATTAGAAAGCATTATTTAGGATATACAAGAGAAAGCAAACAGAATAATTAACACTATAGCAGAATAAAACTACCTTTATGACATTAAGATGGTGAGTGAATGAAAGTCAATAACTCAGCCTTAGTGTTCTGTACTTAGCATTTGTCTTAAAAAGAAACAGAATCACAAAAGTTAATCATACATTTCATAAGATCTGTAATACACCATACCAGCCTTTATAATGGTTTCTGCATTCAAGAGATTTAGGAATCCAGCAGTAATCAGATGAAAAATACCACACTCACACACATACATACATACAAACAGCACCCTCCACAATTATTGGCACCCCTTGTAAAGATTTGTAAAAAGGCTTAGAAAAAAATCCACCTTTTGGTGAAGCAGTTTCATGTCACACTGAAAAAATGAGAAAAATCCAATCTTTCATTGAGAAAAAAAAAATAAGATGCACAGGGAAATTTATTTTGAACAAAAATACATGTGTCACGATTGATTATTGGCACCTATGGAAATTATAGTGAACACAATGTAGCTGAAGCATGTTTCCCCTATAAATTGTACATTTTTGAGTTGGTTGGAGGGAATAGGGACCTTCAAGGTGTAATCCATGACCCTGGGTGATCTGGAGAGATTCTGTAAAGAGGAATCGACTCAGATACCCTGCTCTATATTCTCCAACCTTACAAAGTGTTATAGAAGACTCAGTGCTGTTATGCTGGCAAAAGGAGGTTGTACAAAAAATTAAAAGCACGGGTGCCCATAATTGTGGCATATCTGTTTTTGTTAAAAAATAATTTGTTGGTTTTTTTTTTTCTTCGAATAAATTTATTTCAGTGAAAGGTTGGAATTTTCTCATTTTTTCAGTGTGACACCAAAAGGTGCATTTTCTTCTAACCTTTTTTACAAATCTTTACAAGGGGTGCCAATAATTGTGGAGGGTGCTGTATATACATATCAATAACCAAAAACAGCACAAAGGTACACTGGGTCAAAGCTTAGGATGGACAAAAAATGTGATCATATTTACACTGCAGTACCTTTGACAGACTAAGTTCAATTGTTGCTCTTCCCATTCACAAAAATAACATACAGTTGTATTCTAGCTCTGGAGAAGCCCGAAACCAAAAATTGGTCTTTTATTTTTCTCTGAAACCGGTGAACCACCGGATTAATCAGAATGACAATGTTTCTCTCCAGACCAGAGAACCTGCGAACTGAGTCAACAACAACCACATTTTCATCTAAATTCTCTGCTGAACCCAAAGGAAGTTTAATTTCGTATTCCAAATGAAGTTTCACACTATCAATGCTAAAACAAATTGAAACAAGAATGGCAATATCTTTTGGAGAGTTTCCTTGTCTTAGCAGGTTTCTTAAGAGTGATGTCAGTATGGATAATTTTTCTTTTTCTGTTGTGATGATCTCTTCATAATAACCTGGAAGTGAGTGCATGCAGTTCTTCTGCCTAATCAATCCCTCCATGTGTTCCTTTATATCTCTCTCAAGTTTAAATTTACTCTCTCTTATGCTGTCAAGTTTCTTACAAACCTCATCGTGCACAGCCACGCTATTCCGCAAGGAATACACTAAAGGTATTTTATTGGTTTGTCTTGAGGGTGATGGTAAACCATCAGGTTCTGTGTGACTGAGCTGAAAGTAATCCAGAAAGACCCACAACACACCATTCCCTGGTTTCACTATCTGTCTTGCCTTTTTATACCAATCTCCATCTTCACGCCGGAAATTCTGGGCTTCATCCACAATTATGTGCTTGATATTTGGAAATTCCTTTTTCATGAAGGATGACCGTGTTACACTCTGACAAATTTCTTCTTTTCTGAAGAAAAAAGGCTCTGTTACACTTATTACCAAATCAATTAAAAAAACAATTTTTAAAATACATTTTAAAAAAAGCAATATTTTACAAATTTTTAATAATATACAAACTACAAACTTACCTGATAAATTCTTTTAGTGGTATGTTCTCACAGATGTAAAGGATATTACTTGTTTCACACCCAAATGTATTTTTAATCCTCCTGATTACCAGGGTTGCCAGTACAGTCTTCCCTGTTCCAGGATAGCCGTGAACAAACAGTTTTCTCATGTTCATTAGATCATAATTTTTTTTAATTACTTCGAACTGTTCAGATGTGAGCAAATTCAAGAACTCCTGCCCTAACTGATTGCTGAGTGCTGAAGTGAAGCTCATTACTACAATCACCAGGGCCCGTAGTAAGGCTCGCACTTCCTCAATGTTCTCAGGCTTGTAGAACTCTGGGTACTGATGCTCTATCACAGTATCAGGACTACCCTGATGTCTTGGTATTAACTCCCCTGTCTCACAGTTCACCAGTTGTGGGATCACACAGACCCATCCTGAATAGCCTCCAAGATTCACAAGCTTCTGTCTGAGGTGGAAGGCAGTATCCTTGGCATATTCCCACAGACCAGAGCTTCCATTTTCCACCATGAAGAAAAGTTTAGGGTAATCCTGTTCACAGATCAGGAGGGCTTCACAAATGACCTCCTTGTTTTTTGGTCTATCAATATCAACTGACCAGCTGTTGGAGAGAATCAGGACTCCTCGACCGTTTTCTGGCATCAAGTTTTGAAGGTTTAGATACTTTTTCCATATTTTTTTCTTAAGGTCATCAGGTGTAATTGTTATTCTTCCTTCATAAACTGCAAAAACAATGGCAGAGTTTTAAAAAAATATAACCACATAACAATCAGTAAAAAAGTAATCAAATGTCTTTTGGACTTACCAGGGAACAATTTCTGCTGCAAAGAACTTAGGTGGTCATCTTTGATCCCATAGACTGGCTTGCATTTTGGAGGAGCAGAATTCTGACTGAGCACTTTCTCAAACTGTGCACATAACTCCGTATTCTCTATATACAGGAGAACAGTTAGGGTTAAGGTCTGTGTTTAATCATTTTCCCATTGTACCTGAAGCAAAAACAAAGACCTGTACCTGGATCAGTCACCTGCATCTTTTCCATCCAGACTGCAGCCTGTATCTGGCACACCTCTGTGCCCTCAAGGTGCCATGAATCCGGATGTTTTTCAAAAACAGTGCAGCAAAACTTTGGAATGTGTATGGCTACAACATATAGAGGGTCACTGACATTTCCCCCAAGAACGTCGAGGATGCGGACTTCCACAGAGCAGTCATTCTCCTGAGTGCAGCCTGAGCAGTGAACTGAGATAACCTTGCGGCACATGACTTCGACTTCTGTCTTTATGGATTCCTTGTTAAGACCTTTGCCACATCCAACAACTTTTCTTGTTTTGTCATCAACACCAATGAAGAGGTAGCCCCCATCAGTGTTGGCAAAGGCACTTACATACTTTGGAATGATTTCTTTAAATCTTGTAAAAAGGTTTTTTCCATTACTAAAACTCTTCAGCTCCACATTCACACTCTCCCCAAATGGTAACTTTTCTCCAGGCTGAACTTCCTGTCTTTCAAACAGCTGCTGACCATTTGGTCTATCTCCAGACAAGAAGCGGCATCTCTTTGCCACAGGCTCATCACCTTGTCCTTTTGCCAAATTTCTCTTCATCTTCTGCTTCCTTAAGAACTCTGTTACTGCATTATTTTCAACATTTAAAACTAATGTTCCAGATCTTATTCGGAGACCCGTGTCAATACTACAAAGACGTACCCGACCCCCAGTGGAGCTCCATGTTTTCACGAAAATGAAGAAGTTCACTCCTATTTGCGAAAACCCAAAGTAATCTTCTAAGGTTGATGGATGAACCAGCTGTTTCAAAGCCTCTTCTATGTCCAGGCCTAAACCATCTGAGAGATAGCTGTAGTTCTCATTATTGATCTCCGCACAGACTATACCCCCACCAGAGTTGAGCAGGGCAACCGCAGCCATTAAAATTCTCTGTTTCTGCTTCTGCTTTTCGGTCTTCTGTTGCATGATGCCTCTGGCATTCTCACCCAAGGTTACTTCTCCCACAAACAGAACCTGATCAGGGAGCTCACTGCACTCCAGTGAAAGAGTCTCTGGTTTTGATAGAGCCATCAGACTGAATTTTCTGTAAGAATAATAATTCAAGACAACATGCATTTTTACAGCTTTACTCAATGTTTTATGCAACTTCAGAGCTACAAAAAATGGTTTTACTTTAATTTAAATTATGGATAAATGGTAGGAGAAATGGACCAGTGGATTATTTTTCATACATTTATAAACTGCCTATTAATACATTATTATTACTTGTTAATAATAACAAATGTTTGAGTTTAAGTTAGGAATACATTTTCAGTAGGTTTTATTTAAACTGATAATATTGACATGTACCAAGAGAGAATCTAAAGGTTTGTTCTAAAGCTACTGATAAAATGTAGATATCAAAATCGTGCACAATCGTGTATTAAATAACTAAAGAAAGTTTCACGTAATAGGAAATTAAGGCCATGTTTTCTTAAATAAATAACTACACATAAGGCAAAGTCAACTTACCGCAGAAACGTCTTCTAAATTCTTCGCGTAGTTCAGCTATATACGTCTCAAACCAGACTTTCCGCAACTCAAACCTTTATATTTCCCGGACATTTCCCGGACATTTCCCGGACATTTTGGCCAATCATTTTGGCCAATCCCGGACATTTTGGCCAATCATACCCCGAGATTACGTCATGCACATGCGCACTGCCATACAGTTTTGTTAGTGCCCCCTCGGAAAGACGTCATGTTGCTGCTAGATAGGTCCCAGGTCGTAAAAGACTGCCGTACAATGGTACAGTCGGATCCGCGTTTTCTGTTTCGTTACGGCGAGTTACTGCATTCAAAGCCGGTGTTCTGACAATTTGAGCTACGTATCGAGACGTGCTATCGAGCCTTATTAGGGTTAGGGTTTTTTTTGTGATCAGGGTAAGGGAGATATCAAATACCATATTACGGTTAGGTGCTATCGATTAGCACCATGGTATCTTAACTCGACAAAGTAGCTCGTTACATGCAGAGTAGGGTCACTGAATTAGAATTTTAGTGATCAGTGGTCATTGTCAACACACCACAGCACACAGTGCGCAACAACGAAATGTGACCCATATGTGACTTTCGTGACATAGTAGGGGGCAGCTAATTCAGCGCTTGGGGACGGTACCTTGCTCAGGGTACCTCAGTGGTGACTTGCTGGTGGGGGATTCGAACCTGAAAACTTTCAATTACAAGTGCGCTACCCTAACCATCAAGCCACCACTGCCCTCATTGAAGGGACGAATCAAAATCGCCCATATTGCGGGATGTCCCGGACAATTCGGGACGGGTTGGCAACCCTACTGCAGACAGACCTAAGCCCAAGTCGAACGCACCCAAGTAGTTCTGTCCTGCAGAGGAGGCAAAAAAACAAACTGTAAAAATATGACGTGGAAAAATAAAAAAATTGCTGAGGTCTGACTTTATACGTTATAAAAAAAGACAACAGTGCGGTGTTAAAGGTTACTTTTTGCAAAAGTTCTATTTCCTTGTTAGTAGCTTTGGAGTACGATTAAATAAATGAGACCTCAGCAAATTTTTCAACACGTGAAATGTTTTATGAAACCAGAGAATTTTGTATTATAATATTACATTTACTTTTATTTATTTAGAAGATACAACCAAGAACAAGGTCAGCCAGTGTCCCAGTAGCAACTGCGGTTAAAGGGCTATATGTGAAACCATTTAAAATTTCATTCTTATGTGTTAAAGGAAATAATCAGTGATGATTGTAGGACTTCGTATTAAAGCCAATAGCTGCTCCTGCTCCCACTCCAGCTAGGCTTCTATTTCGGATATGAAATAGTATTTCCCTATCAAAATTTATATTGTTGCAACCTCAGAAATCAGAAAAAAACTGACCTTTATTTTTAAGATCCCTGGACAGGCACAGCTTATATCATGCAATATATCAGTATTAATGCATGCACTCCACCCTCATGCCTTTTCCGAAAGTTACAAATGTAATGATCTGTAGGAGTAATATCTCATTGCAAATACAAGCCAATTCAAGCAAGGGGAGAAAGTAGGATCAAACACAAAAATAGGAGATTTCAGCATTATTTATTTGAGCTATACACAGGTGTTACATTTGTTGTGTTACTCAAAGCTCAGACTGAAGTGTTAAATACAACAGTGTAATTAAAAAAGCAGTAATTACTTCATTCATTAAACATAAAAACCGAAAAGGCTAGTGATGTTTAAAAAGTGTGTGTGAAAGCAACATTTATACAATTATCCTGTGAGTCAATTTAGCAACATTGGGGCTAAATGAATGTCCCTTAAAATAAGTAAAAGGAAAAATGTGGTATTTATTGTTTTAATATGGCATCTAACATTAAAATTATGGATGGATTTGTACAGGTAACATTAACAACACATTTCTCAGTCTCTCCTTCCTCTCCAGTGGCCAAAGACCGTTTCAGTATGAGGGAGAACTTTGGGATTCGACATACAGGATGTGCAGAGAAGGTGTGGGGGGGGGGGGGATTACAGAACAGTCTCGTTTCCATGACCTTATGTCTTACGCTCCTTAAAGGAACTGCATCTCTCTCCCCCCTGATTTACATGGCACATATACAAACAAACAGAGGGAGGACGCAGTGCTGGTCATAAGGCCATACAGTGGTTATGTCATGGAGGCACAGCAGCAAGACGACCTTCTCAGGGCTCTCAGTACGGCTCCGCTTTCAGACTGCGGTACAGGCAGCACGTGAAGACCATTCCCACGATCTGAAAGTATAAGGGAGAGACAACGACACATATCAAACTGCAAGCCTTTTCTCATTGCCTAGCCGTATTGCAAAAATATGCATGTTTATGGAAATGATGCATTTATTTATTCAGGCGAGTGAGAAAGATGACACCACGGTAGTTTTCAGCCGACCTGCACACAGGCAATCCCAATGCCCACTGCCCCAATGATCTTCAGATGTTCCAGTATGAAGGTTTCCAGCTTGGTGATGCAGCCACCCTGTAAAACCAGACATCGCCTTTTAAGCATGGCGTTCTCTTTATCAAACCAATTCAAGTTCGTCATATCTCTGCACTCACATTAACTGCCATACAGCTGTTCAAAGGACTGCATTATATCTCATGTTTCAATGTGATTTCCGTTTGATCCTTGTCTGTTCCCAAATGGCAAGTTGTGATCATGTAGTCATAGGTGCTTATCACCCTTGTGCTTGTGGTGGGTTAAAATAAGTGTACACAATCCCCTGTGCATGAACTTTCCAGGTTCCAGTTTATAAATTAAAAAAAAGGAAGTACATATGAAATTTGTGGGAGAATTATGATTGGCAGCATAAACATAATAGTACTTTCAAGAATATAAGTGTGACAATACAAGTTACACCTTTAGCCAGAAGTATTATCAATTATAATTAAATGCACAGGTCACTTTGGAAATAATTTATTTCTGCGGCCAAGAAGACGCTTCAAGAAGTATTAAAAAATGATATATCAGTGATTAGCCATGGGTCGTTTTCTCACGAATGAGTCAGTTATACATCAACCCTTTACTCCTGCAAACATTTTGAAACTTCAGTTTGATATCACAGTTGGCAAATTTTAAATCCGGTTTACGGTGTAAGTGCATGCTGGTGTTTGTTTTGTCCTCTCAAACTACAGAGTGGAGGGTTAGAGACCCCAGCTGACAGGCTCCCTCTGCCTCACCTCCACCTTGTAAATGTTGGAGGGGTGGTCTCTCTGTCCGCAGTGGTTGGTAATGGTCTTGCAGCAGCTATCCGGAACTATCCTGCCTTCAGACTGAGATGACAGGATCCAGGTGCTTTCCTTCCAGTCAGCAGAGCTGTTACTGCCACAACACTTAAACTGTGGGAGGAGAGAGCAAGGGGGATGAAGAGAAGGAAAGAGGGTGGGAATGGGGAGGGGGGGGGGTTAAAGGAAAAAGGATGACAAGGAGGAGGATGGAGACAGAGAGAAAGAGGATTGAAAATATGCAGAAGAATGAGAAGATCAAAGCATGGACTCAGAAAAAGAAAATAAACACACTCAGTACACCATGGTTGTTTTGGTGATTTGCCATAATAAACAATGGAACACACATATAATGTTCTGTATAACATATAAACTATGGAACACATGTATAATGTTTGATTCACTATAATCTATGTACAGCATCTATTGATCAAATAATAATAAAATATGCAAAGATACACAGTTCACATCAATGTCTACAGAGCCTAAAGTAGATGTATGAAAAGTTTTAATGTGCAGGGGGTGTGTTTTAAATAAAAACAGGCATCTAGCAGTAATAGGAGCACCGCAAACCTAAAAAAAAATAACATTAGATTAATACGGAAGACCATCAGGAGATATGGACAGTGCCATCCCCCAATCCTTGCCCTGGTCACTGCCCACATATCACTTTGCCAGTTTGTGTGCCCCAGTGCCTCACCTCCTGCTGCAGCTTGTCCACAGCCCTGGTGATCCGCTCCTCTCCGGGCTGCTTGTATTTCTGTACCATAGTTTCCTTAAGGTTTTGCTTCAGTTCCTCATTCAGCTGTGCAGAAGGATTAATACAGTGAGCTATATAGTAACATATTAGCTGTTTTATTACAGCCATGCATACAAGTAGAAATTCTCATTTTTAACAAGACACTTTTTTTATTGCTTTTTCATGAAATTGATTATCAGTAATTATATTTGTTTTCATTTGGTCAGTGCTAATAAAGCATTTTTTTTAATTGAGAAAGAACAGTAAAGTAATTGAGAGAAACAGAAGCCAGGGCAGGTTTACCTGGTAGCAGAAAGGGAAACACTGTATGCATGCAGAAGAGGAAGAGGAAGGTTAAAACACAGGGAGGAAATGTAAAGGAAGGGAAATGAAAATTGAACAGAAATCACAAGGTAACATAATATTTGTGTTTTCATAAAGGAAATATGTGTGTGGTGCCATCATTGTCATAACAGGAGCAACAAGTACATCAGCAAATTAGTAAAATCATCTGAATACAGTTTAAATTGTTTTTATATAATTCTGTACTAGTGAGTTCAGAGTTGACTGGTGTATGACACAATGTACCCACAAGGGGGCGCGCTTAGCTCAAAAAAACTGGAAGGTTTCAGTTATATTCACAGTGCCTAAAAACTAATTAAGAAACATCAAAAACTATTACAGTGACAAGTACACTATAATTGGTGCTTTACAGATCATTTGCTATTAATGGTAAACATGAGGCTGCAGAGCAGTTAATAGAATTCTGTTCATGCCTTCAACACAAGATTAGTCTTCCTACGAAGCATTTAGGAATCCAGGTTTGTGAAAATCGTATTACCAGCCCACAACCGGACACACACATCGAGCGGTTTCATTAGGTGGAACTGGAAAGTCATGTAGGAACTGGAATCAACCATCACCTGCTGGTAGTAGATGTAGGCCAGGATTCCAGCAAGGACCTCAAGCAGGAAAATACACAGCAAGAGGACAAAATACTGTGGGTATAAGAGAAAGAGAAATACCCTTCAATGGCAGCTCACATGTTAAGACATAAAAAAAGTAGCAGCTCTACCTAGTGACCGGAAATACTGGCACATACGTACGACAAAAAGAGAATACGAACGATAGTTTGCATGTTGTAGCATAACACACACTGGCATAGAAACAAGGGGGAAACCTCCTTACGCAGAACCTTGGTACCAACTACCGGCCCAATGCCACTTAGAGGAGGTCATCATTAAAAGACGAATGACACCTCCGTCAGCAGTCATTCTGAGGCTGGCGTTGGGTATCGTACCATCTGACTGGTCAGTGAGTAACCTCTAAAAAAAGAAGTGGATACATGAACACATAGACTAGGGATACCAAGGGTGTGTCTCGGGAGTTATTTTCAGGTAAATGACTCCATTCAGTGTGACATTCTGCTGGACACAGACTGCCCTTCACTGGACACAGACTGCCCTTCACTGGACACAGACTGCCCTTCACTGCCATCAACATGCCCATGTGCCTCTACAATACATACCTGTTCCAATATAAACCTTTCCAGTAATGCAGAGTTGGGGGACCTGAACTATAGAGGGCCAGTGTGGGTGAGGGTCTTTGGGATGACCTTTCGATCAGCCAATAATAAAGCAGTGGTTCTGACCTCCAGTCCTGGGGAGCCACTGTTATTGGCTGATTGGGAGGTTGTCCCAAAAACCTCTCTGGATCAAGGTTTCTCTGGATTTCACGTTTCTTAGATCTCAGATAAGAATGTGGGGGCCTTACAAGCATGCTCCAGAAAAACCTCTTCCTGAGGTTTGTGATACACAGGCGCCCAATTTCAATTAACAGAAATTTAGTTACTAGCCAACATCTTTCCCAAAGGATGGACCAGAGACTGGCAGTCGGTAAAACAAGTTATTTCCAGCTGTTTAGGGGCTATTAGTAAGAAAGCATATCAAAGAACTTCTTTTAGTCTGTGAATCTGAATCTAAAGCAAGCAATTGGTTACGACAGAGTTTAAGTGTAAATGGAACATCCTGGCCTGACCAAATAAAACCATAAAGCTCTCTGAACCAGGGGGATTTAGAACAAGAAGTTTATTCACAGTGCAGTCACCTGCCTGCTGGTGCAGAGACAGCGGAGACGACATAATCCAGGCTCTGTGTGTGTGTGTGTGTGGTCCAGGTATACATTACATCGTGGGGACCAATTGTCCCCATAATGTGATAAAAACCTGTTATTTTGACATGGAGACCATTTCTTCAGTCCCCAAAAGGGAAAATTCAATTTTATAAAAATCTGTGACTGCAATCAAAAAACTGAAAATGCCAGAAGTCCTGTATTTTGTTTGGTTACTTATGGTTAAGGTTAGGGCTGGTTAGAGGTTAAGGTTGTCATTGTTGGGATTTGCCCATAGAAATGAATGGATGGTCCCCACAAAGATATGAGTACAGCTCTGTATATGAGCGATTCCACTGACTGACGAGTATGGAGGTACACACAGCCCCACCCGCACCAGTATGGAGGTACACACAGCCCCACCCGCACCAGTATGGAGGTACACACAGCTCTACCCACGATACTGAAGGCCCAGGGTCAAGGGCCATCAGAGAATAAGGGAGTAGTCACACTAGGCAATCCGTACTGTGCCCATGCACGTTTGACACCCAAAGTCCAGTTTGTTTGACTAATGTGATAGTTCTGTACTGTGCCTGGGCCCGCTTGGAGAAGTGGGCCAGGACACGGTTCAGTTGGATTCGGATACGTTACACGTCTAGTGTGATCATGAACCGTGCCCAAGCACTGAACACACACACAATGATGCGACCGGCACACACATGCACAGGTGTACACTATACACGAACCGAACAAGGAAGGAACAAATCAGGTAGGCTGTACAGATCAGGTAGCGACAATTATTTAACAATCACTGCAGCAAAGGGATCACTGTGGTCTATGACAGAGGTGCAGTGTTTGCTGGAAATCTGGGCTGATGAGAGTATCCAGGAACAACTGGATACAACACACAAAAAGTCTGGCCGCAACATTAAGTGCAATGTGAGCACGGACCAGCAGGGGGTGTGGGGAGGGGGGACAATCATGCTTGGGCATGGAATGAGGCAACCGGGCCAAGTGTGATGGTGCGTTCGATTATTTCTCTCCGAGATGGAACATCACGAAAAACATCACTTCTCGTCAGAAACACGCCTCTTTTATGACATTGATGTCGGAAAGAATTTTCTTGTCCGAGATTCCCCAGTGATATAATTTCAACATGGCGGCTTACACACTGAACAGTAATTCTATTTTATAAATCTTTAAAAATGTTTATTTTGTTAAATGTATTAATAGTTATAAATGTAATTGCACATGCTCGATTTAGAGAATACCATATCATGACCGTAAACAGTATCCTATCATGCAATATCAGATTTTTACCAGACTTGTTAGTGTCTTTGGTTTGTTTGTAGTTTGTTTGCCTCTTGAAAAAAGAATATTGCTATGAATGTACTAAAATTTTTTATAAAGCTTTTAATGTGGTTTGACTAGCTTGTGTTTCTTGTTTGTTTGTCCCTGGGAAAAAATAATCTCACTCCAAATCTGCTAAAATATAAAGCAACAACACACAGCAGCGCGTTCGTGAAGGCAGCCATGTTTGTCCGAGATAAGGTCGCTCGAATGGGAGATTGTCCGACGTGATGTCACTCAACTCGGAATTTCCAAGTTCCGAGAGAAAAACGAACGCACCATGAGTACGACCTAAGGGGGGGACGCCTGGGTAATCCATCAGCTGCTAGGGAGGGGGGATAGCTGTGTTAGTTTTAGCTAGGAGTAACACCCTGGGCCCCCACCCCACATGCTACACTCCTCACCCCTGAGTTTTCCTGCTCAGGACTCCCATAAACTAGGATCAACTTACAGATCTCCCTCCCTCATAGCTCATACTTTTCATGTGACTCACCGTCCAAATCAAGGCACTTAGAGATACACCCTGTAACCAGGTCTACCAGGCAGTGCCTCACTGGCAGAACAAAACGGGGCCGGTGGCCAGACATTACATTACAAAGCAGAATAAACTTGCCAACTTGCCACCATAATACAATTAGTTGTAAAAAAAAAAAAAAAAAACAAACACTACTTTCCAGTAAAAACTATACAGCTACACACTTGAAATTTGAATTCTGTGTGAGAAAAAACTCCAGCTGACGGGTGAGGGAATGTGATCTCACCTGCAGTCACAGAGCGGCCGAAAGCTCGGCATGTGAAGGCTCGTGACTCGCTGGTGCCTCATGGGTCAAAGGTCACGCAAGTGGAATGTTAAGTAGGCCCAGCCCACCCAGAGGAGGGTACTGATATTAAGCTCTACAACTAGTCAGCCAACAGTATGAAAAGACAGGAGGATTCCCATGGGACCACAATGGGCCAGGAGTATGTGGGAGAGTCAATGGGCTTCTTAAACCTGACTAATAAGTGAAATAGGACTATGGACAGAAGGGTTCATTTGCTTGATTTTTAGGCTGTATGTTTAGCTGCCAATCTAGACAGTGCTGAAGAATTCAATATTTCCAGAGCCCCTAGATGCACCCGACCACATGTTTAAATGGTCATTTTTAGGGATTCTGAGCAGAAGTTCAGGACTAACAATCTACGTGTTACCTAATATCATGTGGTATTTGCGGTACTTTGCTTTGGACAATAGCACCTGCCAAGTAAATGTAACATAAAGCTAGACATTACTAACACAAAACAGCACTACTTTGAATCTTTGTTTTGTTTTGTTGCTGATTAAATGGTCATTCCAATGCATCAGTGCTAGATTATATACAACATACATAATTACAGACTAATGAGCACTGGGGGATTAGATAAAAAAGTGTAATATATGCAAAAATCATAAGCCTTGTTAATGCAACGTATCTGAAAACGAAAAATGTACATTAAGTAGAATGTTTCTGAACGAGCCAAACATACATTACTCTCTATTATTCAACCAAACAAACAGCGGTCAGCTAATATCCCTGAAAATAGCTACAGCAGCATAAAAACACATAAGCCCAGTGTGTCCACATTACAGAGTGAGTGTACTGAGTCAGCTCTTAACTACGCACTGGAACATCTTGTGGGGCATGACAACAAATGAGACCACATTATCTACACCCACTGCATTACCAACTCAACTCAAGGCCATTACAAGTGAGTGAAGAACTGCAGTTATAATACACCATTGTCTCCTCCACAGAACAAGGTCAGGAAACACATTAAAGATCCAACTGTAAGACTCAGTTCCAACAGTGAAGCCCCAGATGTCTGGCAACCATCCAAGTCCTAGATAAAGACCTCACTCTGTGATGTTACCCTCCTACTATATCTATCCATCTACCTTAAAACCGCTTCCTGTCCAGGTCATGGAAGGACCTGGAGCCTATTGCTGGAAGCATAGTGTACACCCTGGAAGGATCTCAATCCACCACAGAGCACAAACACACACACACTCATAATCACACACTAAGAGTAACCTACAGAAGGCCAACAGCCTGCCATTGGATTGGGGGAGGAGCCCCCACAGGAAACCCATTCAGATATTCAAACTACATAGACAGAGCAAAAGTGGGATGTGAACCATCAAACCAAGAGACATAAGGCGGCGTTTCCCAACCTGTCCTCAGGGACACGCAGACAGTTCACATTTTTGCTCCCTCCCGGCTCATATTACTGTCTGGCAGGGAGCAAAAACATGGACTGTCTGGAGGTCCATGAGAACTGGGCTGGGAAACACTGGTGTAAGGCGCTGTGCCACATCCCTGCTGTAGGACTGAGGAAGCCATTCATGCTGATGACCTGCTTATGCAACAGGAGACGCCTCCTCTGTGCGTCTCCATTTACACTCATGTGTTGTGTGTCTACGTCTTTGCAATCAAGAATCTGACACCTTTGTGGGAAACTGAAGAACATTAAACCGAGGGGGATGAGTTGAGTACATTGGTCTCATGTGGTTGGATGCCGAATACGAGGCAGCAAATGCTGCAGGTCCGCATCCAGCTTGTATCGCGTGACCATGGAGGGAGGGAGGGAGGGAGGGAGGGAGAGAGAGAGAGACCCCTCATGAAAGAGTGTCACTGAATGTAAGACAGTTCAGTTCCCCTATCTATGAGTATCTAATAGTGTGCGGTGGTATGTTTGCATGCGTGTGTGTGTGTGTGTGTGTGTGTGTGTGTGTGTGCCCCCCCACAAGCCCTGAACTGTCTGGAATGTGGTGGGAGATGGAAAGAGGACAAACAGGACAAACTCCAAATTTAGAAAGTCAGCTCAGTAAGAAAGTAAAGGAAGTGGAAAGCCAACATAACAAGTATTCCTAAGAGAGATACAAAAGGCCCAACATCCTGAAAATACTGCCGTGTGTGTGCGTGTGCGTGCATGTGTGTGTGTGTGCGTGTGTATGTGTGTGCACACATGAGAGACACATGTGCAGTCAGTCAGGTCCAGCTATAGCCCTGCACTGTGCTCCTCATGACAAAGGTGTAAATGTGCATCTCTTGCTACCCGCTATGCAGTGGACCCCCCCCCCCGCTTTGTCAGGGTAAGGAAATGGTGACTCAGTTCATCCACCGAGAAGCAAAAAACAAACATTCTCCGGCACCCACCAATCCTCCTTCTCCATGCTGCCAGCACACAACCCCAGCCCTCGTCTCCTGGCCAGTCGAAATCCAGCTTGCCATGCAAGTCTACATTTGTTTCCCCGTTTCTCCCTGCTGGTGTAACCTGTGGTGTACAGACTTCAAGAAGCACCCTGGTCAGGGTATCTCAGGGGTACTTTGCTGGTTGGGGATGTGTACCAGCAACCTTTCAACCACAAGCACACTTCCCTAACCATTAGGCTACCACTGCTAAAGCGAGTCTCTGTTCTCCTGGTATTTCAAAGGGGCTTTGGGAACATAGCCGTGTGTCTGAATTTCATAGACCCTGAATTTCCCCAGCCTGATATCAGTTTTATTGCCAAACGACTGTAATCCATGCTTTTAAGCATGTCTGAATTTGAAAATGCACCGGAAACTATGACAAGGTTTCTCGGCCCAGTTCCCAGTATACAAGTACCAGACATTCAGTGCCCTTGGTTGCGTTATTGTTTGGTTCAGGTGTGCTAGGACCTGGGAGGGGGGTGGGGGCTGTCTGGGGATCCCTGAGGGTCAGGTTGAGAAACTGCATTAGTTTGATTGACAGAAACTGAAAACCAACAATGCTGAGCTGTGATGTCACTAAGCACGTCCACTGAAACAGGCTTTTCGTTTAAAAATAACTAGTTCTTACTGTCTTGCTAGCCTCCCATCGCCACATACACACATAAAACTATTTTGGCCCTTCTCACTACCTGTAACCACTACACCAGTCATCGCATTCCATGGAGCTATTGCTGAAGGAGCATTGCATGGCTGGATAAATGCAGTCATGCAGACATGTAGAAAAGTGCTTTTCATGCCACTCTTAAAAAAAATAAAAAATAAAACAACGCAGGAAATGTAAAACAATGGGAGAGTACGCCTCTAGGGTTAAAAAATATTTCTCCATCGACAGTAACAAACCCAGACAGTATTTTTGTAGATATCCACTCCAGATTTTGGTCCAAATTTGTTACTCTAGTTAAAGTTTTACATATTAGTGTAAATAAAAACAGTGCTTTGAGAGGCCTTACCACTCTTAGAAGGTTTCGCTGCTCCTTGAAAGTGGCACAGCAACCCAGAAACCCTGTAACCATGACGATCACCCCTGCCAGGACCAGGATGTACGCAGAAACTGCGTAAGTGCTGGACTGCAGCAAGCTGATGAAGTCGCTCTTCTCCACCAGTGTCCAGATCCCAACAGCCATCACAGCACCTCCTGCCAGCTAGGAGAACATTTACGAAATGAAGGCACCCGAGCAACAAAACTTCACACATGAACCTTGTGTTACTAGCAGATACTCCTAAGCTGACAGAATCTCACCCAGAAGAGGAAGTTGAAGGTGAAGAGCAGATACTTGAGACAGATGGTCCCACACGTTTCCTTCTTCTCATCAAACGCCCCCATCCTGAGAGAGAACAGGCAAAGGACTGTAAACAACATCCACAACAACATCAACAACTTTTCCAAAGTCCAGCTCCACATCTCTGTAAAAACTCGGCTTGGACATGGATCCAGAGCAGCCACAAGGAATTAACACTATATTGCCAAAAGTATTGGGATAGCTGCTGGTACACACACATCAATTTTAATGACATTCCATTCTTAATACATAGGCTTTAATATGGAGTTCGCCCACCCTTTTGCAGATATAGCAGCTTCTGGCTGACCACAAGGTGTAGGAGTGTGTTTATGGGAATTTTTGACCATTCTTCCAGGAGAGCATTTGTGAGGGCAGGCACTGATGTTGGATGAGAAGGCCTGGCTTGCAGTCTCCGCTCTAATTCATCCCAAAGGTATTCTATCGGGTTGAGGTCAAGGCTCTGTGCAGGCCAGTCAAGTTCCTCCACACCAGACTCGCTCATCCATGTCCTTATGGACCCTGCTTTGTGCACTCGTGCGCAGTGTTGGAACAGGAAGGACCCATCCCCAAACTGTTCCCACAAAGTTGGGAGCATGAAATTTTCCAAAATGGCTTTGAATGCTGCAGCATTAAAAGTTGCTTTCACTGGAACTTCTGCACACTGTGCGCCTCAGCATGCGTTGTCCCCACTCTCTGATTTTATGTGGCCTAACACTTCATGGCTGAGTTCCCAGTTACTTCCACTTTGTTATAATACCACTAACAGTTGACTATGGAATATTTAGCCGTGATGAAATTTCACGAATGGACTTATTGCACAGGTGGCATCCTATCACGGTATCACACTTGAACTCACTGAGCTCCAGAGAGGACACATTCTTTCACAAATGTTTGTAGAAGCAGTCTGCACGCCTCGGTGGCTATGGAAGTGATTGGAACACCGGAATTCAATGATTTGGAGGGTTGTCCCAATACTTTTGGCAATATCGTGTATTTAATTCTGTTCGAGGCCCTGTTTTATCCACAAGTCATTAACAGGCGGTCCTCATTCATGAAGGGAACATCCGGGAAAGTGGATTTGGAACAGGGGCGAGCCGAACGCGTAGCAAGGCATACTCTGGACAGACTCTCTGATGTCATTCATTCCTTCTGTCTGATTATTTTCTCCCCAGACAGCCCATCACCTGGCGGCAGACGGCTGGCAGCAACTACAAAGCAACTACTACCCCCCCCCCCCCCCCCCCCCCCCCCCCCCCCCCCCCCCCCCCACTGCCTGGCCGGTCCCTGCCATCAGTGCACTCTTTATCCATGGAAACTTCTTATAAAAGCTCAACCTACCTACGGATAATATCTGGTTAGATG